AACACGCAGGCTCCAGGTCTTAACACATGCCAAACAGCGTATAGACCGCAACGTGCACAAAACTCTCAATGCAAAGAGCAATAAAGAGTCCCCGTATGCCTCATGTGATCACACACTATTATATATTTTGCAGGTTTGTCATTATGCAAGTTCGAAAACACTCCGTTCTTCCTGTCGTGGATCGCTAAACCCCACAGACGCTCTGAAGTACGTGTTTAGTTTAAGGTTTTAGTAGAACAGTATTCTGGGAAAAAGGAAAAAAACTTTTCTTTAACCACTCATCACTTTTTTTTTTTAACAGTAGACCTGAACATGGCTCTAGACATGTTTGTTTTCTTATTATTGTTTGTATATGTATACAGTTTTTAATTTCCGATTGTATTTCTTCATGTTTTATCTTCAACTGTTATTCTCTCTGCTTAACTGTACAATATTAAACCTGAGATGTTATGCTGATACTGGTTGTGTTGTCATGTTTTCTTGACAGTATTATTAGTGATCCAACACTGTTTTTGAGGTTTTTAAATGTATATTTTATTTTGTCTTAGTACTAAAAACATTAGCACAAAAACATACTTGACAAATATAACAAAAACAACAACTCTGCTCCTTCAGAAAACAGCAGAGCAGTATTTGAAGGTTCTTATGGTTCTTTGTAGCACTTCACATTTGTAATGAACCATTTTCTGATCTAGAACCATATTTGTAGAACAGAACTTACAAAAATGCGTAGCCTGGGTAGGATCTGTTTTCTTCAGTAGGGTGCTTGTTGGGGTAGGATCTGTTTTCTTCAGTAGGGTGGTTGTTGGGGTAGGATCTGTTTTCTTCAGTAGGGTGGTTATCTTTGGGGTAGGATCTGTTTTCTTCAATAGGGTGCTTGTTGGGGTAGGATCTGTTTCCTTCAGTAGGGTGTTTGTCTTTGGGGTAGGATCTGTTTTCTTCAGTAGGGTGCTTGTTGTGGTAGGATCTGTTTCCTTCAGTAGGGTGCTTGTTGGGGTAGGATCTGTTTCCTTCAACCCCATAAGAAACACACGCAGGAGTGCTATGGTACACTTTACTGCACATTTCATTGCATGAAAATATAAGGTATTTTTATAGTCACATCCACACACAAATTTACCACCCTCTTCTGGATGACTACAATATTACACCTAATGCCCAGTATGTCAAGTGCATGTTCTCAACCTTTCGATTAGAATGAGAATATCGACCAACAGTCCTTTGAAACTTTAAATTCTGGTTATTACAAACAATACTTCATGTTTGGGATCATTTCTGACATTTTCAACTCACATTCACACATCTTGGTGTTAAGAAGGTCTCGTGGTAGGTTTGTATGGGTGTGATGGAGGATGACACAGACGGACGGAAGCAAGTGCAACGAGTTTATACAGAGCTAAGCATGCATGTGTTGAAAGGCAATGCTATGGATAGATGGTTTATGGTCTTTGAATTCTGCTAGTGTGTGTGACTTTTGTGTTTCTTTGGGGTCATAAACATTTAAAGACTTGTTTTAACATTATTGCACAGCTAAATTATGACAATATCAGTTTTCCATGTTTTAAACCCATTTGCTGGCTGTGTATGTAGATAATTGTGTCCCTACCATAGATGGTGTAATACAAAATGGCATGATTGTCAACATTAATAACAATAGTCATTTTTTGATATGGATGGATATAAAATAATTACAATAATATTATTAAATCTGCCTTAAAATTGCAGACCGTTTCAGCATTTGTCTGCTTGTGTTTTGTTTTATTATTATTTCTATTGTGAACCGATTATGTCAGATGTCCCTCAACCTATTCCTAAACTGATCTGAGACCAGTTTGTTTCATTTTAATAGTTGGGACTTGGAATTTTAGTTGTTGGGGCTGGACCTAGATCAGGGCTTGGTGGTCAGTTTTAACCTGAGTGAGTTCAGTATATCTAAACAGATGTTATTTTAGCCATACTTACCCAGATTACCCTTTATAATAAACTCGCTTTACATTCCAAATGGAAATGAGAATGGAAGAGCTCTTTTGTTTCTGTTGGATAGTTTAGATTTATAACACGCAGGCTCCAGGTCTTAACACATGCCAAACAGCGTATAGACCGCAACGTGCACAAAACTCTCAATGCAAAGAGCAATAAAGAGTCCCCGTATGCCTCATGTGATCACACACTATTATATATTTTGCAGGTTTGTCATTATGCAAGTTCGAAAACACTCCGTTCTTCCTGTCGTGGATCGCTAAACCCCACAGACGCTCTGAAGTACGTGTTTAGTTTAAGGTTTTAGTAGAACAGTATTCTGGGAAAAAGGAAAAAAACTTTTCTTTAACCACTCATCACTTTTTTTTTTTAACAGTAGACCTGAACATGGCTCTAGACATGTTTGTTTTCTTATTATTGTTTGTATATGTATACAGTTTTTAATTTCCGATTGTATTTCTTCATGTTTTATCTTCAACTGTTATTCTCTCTGCTTAACTGTACAATATTAAACCTGAGATGTTATGCTGATACTGGTTGTGTTGTCATGTTTTCTTGACAGTATTATTAGTGATCCAACACTGTTTTTGAGGTTTTTAAATGTATATTTTATTTTGTCTTAGTACTAAAAACATTAGCACAAAAACATACTTGACAAATATAACAAAAACAACAACTCTGCTCCTTCAGAAAACAGCAGAGCAGTATTTGAAGGTTCTTATGGTTCTTTGTAGCACTTCACATTTGTAATGAACCATTTTCTGATCTAGAACCATATTTGTAGAACAGAACTTACAAAAATGCGTAGCCTGGGTAGGTTCTGTTTTCTTCAGTAGGGTGCTTGTTGGGGTAGGATCTGTTTTCTTCAGTAGGGTGGTTGTTGGGGTAGGATCTGTTTTCTTCAGTAGGGTGGTTGTTGGGGTAGGATCTGTTTTCTTCAGTAGGGTGGTTGTTGGGGTAGGATCTGTTTTCTTCAGTAGGGTGGTTGTTGGGGTAGGATCTGTTTTCTTCAGTAGGGTGGTTGTTGGGGTAGGATCTGTTTTCTTCAGTAGGGTGGTTGTTGGGGTAGGATCTGTTTTCTTCAGTAGGGTGGTTGTTGGGGTAGGATCTGTTTTCTTCAGTAGGGTGGTTGTTGGGGTAGGATCTGTTTTCTTCAGTAGGGTGGTTGTTGGGGTAGGATCTGTTTTCTTCAGTAGGGTGGTTGTTGGGGTAGGATCTGTTTTCTTCAGTAGGGTGGTTGTTGGGGTAGGATCTGTTTTCTTCAGTAGGGTGGTTATCTTTGGGGTAGGATCTGTTTTCTTCAATAGGGTGCTTGTTGGGGTAGGATCGGTTTTCTTCAGTAGGGTGGTTGTCTTTGGGGTAGGATCTGTTTTCTTCAGTAGGGTGCTTGTTGTGGTAGGATCTGTTTCCTTCAGTAGGGTGCTTGTTGGGGTGGTTGTCTTTGGGGTTGGATCTGTTTTCTTCGGTAGGGTGGTTGTTGGGGTGGTTGTCTTTGGGGTTGGATCTGTTTTCTTCGGTAGGGTGGTTGTTGGGGTGGTTGTCTTTGGGGTTGGATCTGTTTTCTTCGGTAGGGTGGTTGTTGGGGTGGTTGTCTTTGGGGTTGGATCTGTTTTCTTCGGTAGGGTGGTTGTTGGGGTGGTTGTCTTTGGGGTTGGATCTGTTTTCTTCGGTAGGGTGGTTGTTGGGGTGGTTGTCTTTGGGGTTGGATCTGTTTTCTTCGGTAGGGTGGTTGTTGGGGTGGTTGTCTTTGGGGTTGGATCTGTTTTCTTCGGTAGGGTGGTTGTTGGTGGTCATTTACTGACATGGGTATTGGCAGAGGGCTGGTTGGGCTGTTTGCCAGGATATATTTTGGAGATTAGGTGATGTAAGGTTTGCCGGTTCTGTCACATTATCTCTGTCAATGACGAGACAAAACAAAAATGGAACTAGTTAGAAAGGAAATGGTTCTGAACATTAAACGTTATTTTGGATACAAATGCTGCATTTTCAATGATAAAGCTCACATTTCTCCAAGCACTGTCTAGTTGCACACAAAATTTGCCTATAGATGTTGAAACCCTGAAGGAAAAAGTTCACATTCAATATTTGTTTACATTTTTGTGACAAAATATGCAAAAAAAATAATATTGTGTGAAATGTATATGTCTATGAAACTGAAATAACACCTTTCAGAGACTGGAAAAGCTTGAGCTGTTGGTTAAACAAAAAAACAACAAATTTTATACTAAATATGATTGATATGATTTCTCTGCAGAACAACTGTATCCTTGTGTTACTGTAAATTGTGTACACCTTTATAAATACGCAAATAACTCATTTAAACTTACTTTGAGCCTCAGAAGTCCAGGCCATCAGCAGAACCAGTCCGAACACCAGAACACAAGATGTTCTCATGGTTTCTGATCTGAAGTCGATCTGCAGGCTTTGATGAGCTTTTGGAAAAATCTAAGTGAATTACAGCCTGCTTCACACTTCAAATATTTTCTCAGATTATAAACTCAGATCTGAGGTTTGATACCCACTGTTTTAAACGCCCACCACTACTGAGTTTCCTGGACCTACAACCACAAGCAAATCTTCTGGTTGAATGTATCCAAAAAGCAATACAGATATGTCTCTAAACATATTCTTAAGCTGACCCGAGAGCAGTTTGTTTCCTCTTAATGGATAAGACTTGGACTTTTAGCTGTTGGGGCTCATCCGATCAGGGCTTGGTTATTCAACCTAAATGAGTTATATCTAAAAATACTGTAAAGGGCAATACCCATGATCACAAATGATATATTTTCAGGTTTGTCATTATGCAAAACATGTTTTATTAGTAGTAGTAGTATGTTTGTATTTAGTTTAATTAAGCTAATTGCCGATTTTTTTATGTTAGGCTACCATTTTATTCTTGTAACTGTACATTATTAAACATGAGATGTTATGCTGATGACAGTCATGCTGTCTTTCACACTATTTATGCTAATAATTAATATTTTGAACATTCAAATTAGTCAGACACCAGGTAATCTCAGTGAATTTTAATATTTATTTGCATAGATGAAATGAGTTTTGACATTCAATATCTTGCAGTATTTATAAGGAGATGCAAAAAAATACATTTGATAGGAAAGGACAGTTGAATAAAGCAATAACAGTATTATGTTTTGAGTTTTCATTTTTGACGCTTTTTCATTACTTTCTGAATCCAAGCCTCGTCTGGTTTCACACAAAATTCCGTTCTTGGTGTTTTAACCCTGAGGGTGAAAGTTTATATAAGTTTATTTTTTATTTTGTTTTATATTTTATATAATTTTTTCTAAATGATATATTTCAGAGTTAAATACTTACACAATGCCAGCGACAGGGCAATTTGAACCGGTCTTCAAAGCACTCACAATTCTTTTGGCCGGAATTTGGAAGTCGACAAAAACGAAGCAACAACTCTCAGGAACTGCATGGGCAACTGCTTTTGCTGAGATAAAATGATATATACATATATGAAATATGTTACATTTTAATATGAGTTGGTATTACTCATCCTTCAAAATAAAGGTTCTTTCTAGACCCATGAAGGATCATATCTGGATGGTTAATCTGCATTTTGGTTTGTTTCTGGGTTCTTTTTAAGCTCTGTATATATGTTTTGTTGCTTACAGGAGAATATAAAATTAATTGAACATGCAAAAATGAAACATGCAAAAGATTCCATTATGTTACCTGGCTGTATCCATTTTAGCCACTTTAAATTTATGTGGAACTTTATGTCTTTCTTATGTAGATAACAATTTAGTCAGAAGTAAAACTGTAGCCTACTTCAAGAGAACTTACGTTGAGCCTCAGAAGTCCAGGCCATCAGCAGGACCAGCCCGAACACCAGACACAAAGAAGATGCCCTCATGGTTTCTGATCTGAAGTTGATCTTCAAGCTTTGATAATGAGCTGTTTCAGTTGTCTGAGACAATCCGAGTCTGCACCACATTTTTAAATGCTTTCGGACGTGATGCTAGATAGGAACTCAGATCTGTGGTTTGATAAGAAAGTGTACTGCAGTCCCCCTCCTCTTCTTCAAAGCCCACACGGAGAATCACATTTGCTATACTGGGTTGCTTTTTGCAAGCAGAGATTGTGAAAAGATAAAATACAGGAGTCAGAAGTTTACAGCACATCATCAGACATCATCACACATCATCATCAGTGCAGGGTTTTTTTTTTTGCTGATGCTCATTACAAGAAATGTAAAAAAGATTTTTAAACTTGTGTAACACTTGTGTAAAATAACATCTGAATTACTCGTGTACCATCCTTTATGTCCAAATCACAGAAGGCTAATTCATCGATTCCATGTGGCAAATTCACTTTCCACAGTCAGCATGTACAAAGGAAAAAAAGTACATGACCACTGACGTGGGTTTTCAATATGCAGATATGAAACTACAATGGAAACGTGTTGTAGTACACGATGGAAATGCTTTGTGATAACTTAATGCATAATTCATTAACAAAAAGAACACTTACTCTAACAGATTTCATAATGTGAGGAAATCTTGATGCAAATATAATTATGTATTATATAAATATTGTACTAGTATATAATAGTATTATATATACACTCTAAAAAATGCTGGGTTGTTTCAACCCAACGTTGGGTCAAATATGGACTAACCCAACTTTTGGGTTAAAACTTTAATTAAAAAATTTAACCCAACAGCTGGGTTAGTCCATATTTGACCCAATGTTGGGTTGAAACAACCCAGCATTTTTTAGAGTGTACTATTAAAATAGTATGTAATATTAAATATTTTACAACAAAAATATTAAAACTTATAATTATTATTATGCTATTCTAATAAGTTTAGATTTAGAAAAAAGTATACAAAATGTAAATTATTAACATTTTCTATAGATTACTAATATGTTTTACTTACTTAGATGATTACTGTATATACTGATGTGTATTATTATTTTTTATCAAGATCCCACACAAGTCTTATCTAATTTGTTTTCGTATAGATAGTGCTGTTAACTGCTTAAAAAATCATTATCATTATCAAACATCTGTCTGTCTGTCATTGATCTGTTGAATCTGTTATGATCTTATTTCTATAATACAATCTTTTCAGTGTTTGGCATTTCATGCGGTGTCCATATGAGGTTTCAACTTTTTTTTTCTTGAGAAAAAAAATAGAATTTTTCTAAATTCTATTTAGAATACATATTACATACAGGGTCGTTCTTCTATAGAAAGCATGGAAAGTCATGTGAAGTTGTAAGATGAAGGTGATGCATCTCAGCAAACATCAGCTCGGTCTGATAATGATCAAGATCTTCGCGTTCAGCACTTTTGGCCTGTGGTTTTTTTGTACGATATGTACCCTCATTTTCATGTGCAGTAAATGGCACACATGCAAATACTCTATAGAAGGTGTAAATGTGTATGTCTGTATCAGTCACATAATAATCTAGCTTACAAATTGTACATTTAATTGTTTTCAGCAATATTCATGATAAATTTGACAAAATACACCAGGAAAGATTTCATCATTTAACAGAATAACATTCAGGCATGCTAAAATATTATTACTAATCTAAAGTACAGTGAATGAACGACCAGACTGATTCAGCAGAACATCAAAACCTCGGAGGAAACCACCAGTAGTGTGTCATTTTTATATCTTTAGTAACTGACAAGAGAAACGTTACCTTGCTTTGTAAGTGTAAAGTGTGACTCATTTTGATGTGAGGTACATAGTGTTATATATAATATGATCAAACCCTTATTAGTCACACCAGGGGCGTAGCCATCATTTCAGAAGTGAGGGGGACAGAAATGTTATATATATATATATATATATATAACATTACAATATAACATTTCTGTAATCTATATAACCTACCAGTCAACAGTTTTTGAACAGCAAGATTTTTAATGTTTTATAAAGAAGTCTCTTCTGCTCACCAAGCCTGCATTTATTTGATCCAAAGTACAGCAAAAGCAGTAATGTTGTGAAATATTTTTACTATTTAAAATAACTGCTTTCTATTTGAATACATTTTAAAATGATTGCTGTGATCAAAGCTGTATTTTCAGCAGCATTACTCCAGTCTTCAGTTTCACATCCTTCAGAAATCCTTATAATATGCTGATTTGCTGCTCAATAAACCTTTTTTTTAAATTATTATTATTATTATCAATATTTAAAACAGTTGACTAAATTTTTCCAGGATTCTTTGATATATAGAAAGATCCAAAGATCAGCATTTGAGAATGATTTCTGAAGGATCGTGTGACTGGAGTAATGATGCAAAATATTTAGCTTTGAAATTTTTTGAAAGACATTTTAACATATATTCAAATAGAAAATAGTTATTTTAAATAGCCTAGTAAAAATATTTCAAAATGTTACTGTTTTGCTGTACTTTGGATCAAATAAATGCAGGCTTGATGAACAGAAGAGACTTCTTTAAAAAACATGAACAATCTTACTGTTCAAAAACTTTTGACTGGTATGTTATATATATATATATATATATATCTCATTTCTAGCTTTTAATTGGCTTAGAAATCAGATAACTGCTGGACAATAACCAATAATAATGATTTGCTTATATACTACAAACACTTTTTT